TCGGGAGTGGGCACGCGGCCAGAGCCATACGCGATCGTTACTGAGCACTGACATTTGACTGTGGAGGTTTCCAGAAGGGCAATGCCGTTGACCTCAGCACCCACAGATCTGACATCCCACCTGCCCTGAGGGGCGGCTGGGGGCCTTGGTGGGAGAGACTGGGACTGTCGGGGGTGGAGGGGTGGCCAGGGTTGTGCTGGGGCTGCTGGGCTTCAGCTCGGCTCCGGTGTGGGGACTGTGTTTCTTCTCACAGTACCGCCCAGGATGCGCCTGGGGGTCACGCCACATGCCCCCCCGTCCAGGTGCCTGCTCAGAGCTTCCCAGACGACTCACCCAACACCCACGGGTTTGTGAGCTGAAGAGATGCACAGAGCAGCCGAGACAGCCCGGGGGGCGCTCAGGGTCTCTAAAATGGTCTTCAGAGGGGCTTAAGGGACGGATGTCAGCAGCGAGAGGCGCATTATCAGGATCCCGGGGCGGGGGGGCGGGGAGGTGTGCACTAGTCTGTTTGGGGAACTAGGAGACTGTTAGCCAGACGCTGCGGGTGGGTCACCTAGCAGGTGGACAGGCTGACTTCCCGCATGACTTCAGTACACCCTGTTCGAGAGATGAGTGCTGGGGGGTTCAGAGCCCAGAGGAACCTGGGGTTTGGGGAGAGCCACTTGCACCCCCCCGCCCCGTGTCCTGCGGTGGATGCAGGAATGCCCACTGCGCCGGAGGTCTCTCACTCCTGCACGGCAGGAGGTTGGGGGTCTGTTAGCGGGGCTCAGGATGGGCCGAGGCTTGAAGGGCAGAGGTGTGCCAGGCAAAGGTCTGCGACTCACGGGTGCAGACAGCTGTTGGGCGCTTCATCGAGTCCCTCGCGGGCCGGGGGGCCCTTCGCTGGGTGCAGCTGATGGACCAGCTGTAGGGCAGCCCTGAGGGCTTTCCTGAAAGCGCTGCGTCTATGGCAACGGGTTTTCCCGGGAAAGTCATGCTCTACATGGAAGCAGAGACTTGGGAGAAACAAAACTCCTTGTCGTGGCTGGGAAGGCGGTCCCGCAGGAACAGCTGTGGCCTTGCGTGGGGCAGCCTCAGTTTGATGCCCCCTAGACCCCGACATCGCTGGGGATGGTCCCCGAGCACCCCTGGGAATGGTCCCTGAGCACTGCTGGGTCCAAAGTTGTAGATATTTCAGTATGTGCATATGTGTATGTATATAAATGTATATATAACACAGGTACGTTTATATATTTATATAATAATCTATTAATATATACATTGTATACTTGCATATAAGATCGTATCTTTATGTCTGTATAGATCTTTATATTTTCGATGCATTGCAGAGTAATGAGAAGCCTGCATTTGGCGGAGAAGCATCCTGGTGTTTCCTAAGCGGGGAGCTGGTTGGCGGGTGGAGGGAGCCCCCTGCATGTTTTCAGGGCAAAGAGAGCTGGTCATTGTCGCTGGGCTCCTCCCTCAGACCAGCGTCTCACCCCTGGGCAGCCCTGGGTGTCCAGGGGTGTGTGGGCGAGGGGGCTTTCTGTTGGTTCACTTCACGAAGACTCGTTCCTAGGGCCGGGGGGGCCTGGGTGATTTGCGGAGGGAGGTGGTGGAGTGGTAGATCGTTGTAAGTCTGAGCGTCCCTGCCACAAACCGCTCGGAACTCGAGTGAACACTCGGTGGGATACTGGCCTCGAGTGAAGACAAAGCCCATTCAGGTTCTATTCTGGGGAGATGCATCTCTGAATCCGGCCGCCTCTGTTGGGGAGTCTGAGGACGGGTCGGAACCCGCAGCCCTGCGGCCCCGCCGGCCCCTCCTCTGCCCATCTCGCTGCTGCCCGCAGGCCTCTCAGCCGGCTAGAGAGTGGACACTGGCCTGCCGGGCGCTGCAGGGTCGTGTGGGACACCTGGTCGCGGGTCCTGGGGTGGGTCTACCCTCGCTCCTGGGCCACGCCAGCACGAGGCCCTGGGCTGCCTCAACTACAAATTGGATGAACAACCCATGACACTTTTTCAATATTATTACATTAAACCAAGTGGATTTTGATTGATAACCTAATATTCAACTAATGCAAAACATCAATCATGGCGAGTATATTAATTATTTAATATTGCAGTCTAATTCAGAAATCGATGTCCCGCATGAGGGGAAGGGAAGCGCAGGGTTCCCAGAAGATTTAAGACAGGGGATGATTAAAAAAAGACCTGCTGTATGCCTGTGTGTTAGCTCGATACAAATCTTTATTCATTTGCCAATAATCTCTTCCCATTTTCCACTTCAGGACCATTTTATCAGTTCTGAGGCCTGTAATTGAATTAAGCCTGCTTTCAGCACAGGGCAGGGCAGTCGCACAGATATTGATGAAGTCGTGACAGGGACAGCCCAGGAGACAGACCGCTAAAGAGGTCAGGCCTGGTGCTGGTCCTGCAGGACGCATCTCAGGCTCTGCCTTGGTGGGGATGCGGGGGCGAGGGGCCGCGGGGGTGGGGGGGGGTCTCGTCTTGTGCCTGTTGCACGTTGGCAGCTGCCCACAGAGTGCCTCTTGCTGGCTTTTCTTGGTGACCTTGGTTGTGGCCCAGCAGAGCCCCTTCACGTCCAGGCCTTGGCGAGGCAGGGGCTCCTGGCGTCGCCCCCGGCTGTAGCCCCTGCAGCCTCACAGCCTTGTTGGGGACTCGGCTCACAGCCCTGTGTCCTCCGCCTGAAGCAGAGGACACTGAACTTCAGGGAGGACTCCCAGGGTGGCCCTACCCCAGGGATGCTGGGGAAAGTGGAGTTTCAGGGACACTTGTTGAAATTCCGCTGTCTTGACCTGTGATGCGTGTCGAGCTCTGTAGACCGCGTGGCTATAAGTGAAAACTTCTTGGATTCTTGCCTTTTTCAGAGGGGGCCATGTCCTTACTGACGAGCACGGAGGCGTATCTTAATGATAGCTCTCCTGAGAATTGCCACCCAACTTCTCCCTTAGTTCTGGTTGCCTGGCAATGTGTATGTGTCTGTACACCCTTTGGGGACCCTCTTCCAGCCAGTTTATGTATTTCTCTTAAATAACATGTTTTTTTGTTTCTTACCCCATCTGACAATCCTCTTTGGCATTTTAATTCCATATCATTGTGGGTGAGCGTCCTTTTACAGTTGTTGTTTGCTTGGGTTACAGTGATCGCTGTATTCTCTGCCAGCCTTTGTTTGCTTACTCTTGTTCTCTAAGTCCCTCTGTCTCTCCCTCCCTCCACCTTTTTTTTCTTTTTTAGTCACACCCGGCAGTGCGCAGGGGTTGTTCCTGGCTCTGCACTCAGGAATTACTCCTGGCAGTGCTCGGGGAACCATATGGGAGGCTGGGAATCGAACCCGGGTCATCGGCTGCCTATCGCTCCAGCCCCATCTTTCCTTCCCCCGTTGGTTTTGGGGCCACACCTGGTGGTGCTCCTGGCTCAGCTCTCAGGGGTCACTCCTATTGGGGCTCAGGGGACAGTATGTGATGCCAGGAATCGAACCCGGGTTGGCCATGTGCCAGGCCCGTCCCCGTGTGCCGTACCATCGCTCCAGCCTGGGAATCTGTTTCTCTTCCTTCTGCCTCGCACTCATGACTTGGGTGAATCCCCTGAGTCCTTGGCTGCCGAGAGGTTTGTTTTCCTTTCCCGTCCTCTAATGCCGTATTGGCTGTTCCTGAGCTCCAGCCCTCCCTGGCCAGGGCCCGCCACCCTGAGACAGGCTTCTCGGCCGGTGGCGTACACACTCACTCCCAAGTCAGCTGGTGGTGCTTTGCTGGCCACCGTCGGGATGACCCTCCCTGATGGCCGCTCCAGCCTGCTGACCCGCGGATATCCCAGCTCCGGCCCTGGCTCTGTCTGGAACTCGGGGCACCATCCCCAAGGCCCCTGTGGATTCTCCTCCCAGTGGAGCTGGGGGAAACTGAGGCACTGGAGGGGGGAGGCGGGGCCTGTGTAGGGAGGGTAGTGTGACGGGGGACCGGCAGCGGTCAGCGGTCAGCGGCTGCTCTCGAGGAGGGTCAGCCCGCGTGCAGCCCACTGTGGGGGCCGGTTCAATTTGGTCCTGCCCCTTGGCGGAATAGGATTCCAGGTTATAAGCTCAGGGGGTCTTTTCCTGTAAGGAAGCGCTACTGGGGAGAGTCAGAAAATTGTGACTTTATTTGATACTAAGAAACAAATACAGACTGAAATACGGGAACAGGAATCCAGTTTGTCAGTCTCACCAGCCCTGCGCTTGGACGGCCTCTGCCCACGCACAGATGCATGATCTTAGCTGCACCAGCCATCTCTATCCCCGGGAAAAGCAAGAAATGAAGCGGGTTTTTTTTCCATTATTTATTTTTTATTTTTTAATTTTTATTAGTGAAACACCAGGAGGTACAGTTGTAGACTTAGAAAACAAACAGTGTTTTTAAGTGAGGGTTTGGCGGGACTATTTTAATAGTTTTCTACTGCTTACATGAGTTTATCCTGATTTGTAGTGTCCACTAAGTAAACAAAATTGATATCTAATTTAAAAAAATTATACATCCAGATAAATTCATTGTGTGCATATTTTTTATATTAAAAGGGTACCACTGTTGGAAGGATTTTGTGTGAAACATTTGCAGGAAATGTCAATTGTAGACTTTATATATGCTTAGAATCAGTATATTGAAATGTTTTTATAATAAACATTGGGGAAAATTAATGCAAACACTCTGAAATAGATATTAATATAGAGTATCTATAGAAATCAATATTATGTAACTGCTAAAATAATAATATACAAGTTAAACTTATTTTTGTTGCTCACTGACTTTGAAATTCGGAATCATTCGTGAACCTGAATTTTAGTGGTCACTTAAAAATAATTGAGCAGTTTTCTTTTTCTGAAAGTTGCTATACACTTAAGAACAGTGCTGCTACAATTAGGTAAAGATACACAGAGAAGTTAGAAGGGTTTACCAGATACATTTGAGGTAAACATAAATTACAGCAGACAAGGGTTTTAACAACTATTTAGAACTTTTATTCTTCTGTTTTAGGGAATCTGGAAGCATCAAAGCTGGATTAGAACATCTGGTAAGTTCTAATTTTCTCTTGAACATTTGCATGCTCTTTGATATCTGCATTCTAAATGAACACTTTTGAATGAGCTTTGAATACCTTGTATTGAGAAAGTCAACCGTTTCCCAAGGGGTCAGCTTACTGTTATTATGTGAAGACACTCACATTTTCATTCATCTTATCGTTTCAAGGGAATTGAAATTTTTTTTTAGATTACTTTTTTATTTTTTGATGTAGAGATGAAATGAAAGGGGTGACATTCCTTGGATTGATGATTGCTTTAATTATAAACAAAAATTGTTTGGTGTCGAATTTTTGGCATATCTTGATCTGACAAAAACAAGCTTGTGTTTTAGAAACAACACAATCAAATATTGCATGCATAAATACGGTGTGTGTTAGCAATTTAGCAGCTTTGAAAGATGCACACGGCCCCGTTTTTCCTGATGTCTTTGCTTTATGAATAATGCAGTGATTGAAACTACATCCAGTTTTAGAATATCAAATAATTGAGATGCACAATTTTTGATTTAAGTAAACATTTTTAAGGCATGGGAAAATTAAAACTGACTTAACATTAAAATCTGTCCATTGATAAAAAAAATTGGAAAAAGTGTACTGTTTACAGACATTTCAAAATTCATTGAGCTTGGCACATTGTGTGTTCATTACAACACTGAGTAGTTCATTTAAACAGAGTTCATTATAAAGTCAAGCTCTGGTTTCTGGTCAAATCCAAATGTTGAATAATTAATGGCGGAGATTCTTTTGTAAATATAATCTGAGTACTTTTTAAGTGCAAGGCTTATTCTTGTATCATATTGTAGCTTTGTTAACTGGTAATGTGCTTTTGTTCTGCCGCACGAAAGCCAGCAGAGATGCGAGGACGCTTCCTTCAGCTTCCTTCAGCTTCCGAGTAGTTTCAGAGTCGAAAGGGATTTTTGCTTTTCCTTTCGGTAGTTACAGGAAACTGAAGAGAGCTAGACTTTGCAAACGGATCTTAAATTCACAGAGTAATTACCAGACAGCAAGAATTAATCGTTGCATTATAATTCTTGTTTATAGTTGCTGTAAATCAAGTTTAAAAATTTAAGCTGTGTATTTTAGCCCCGGTCTCTTTGAGAAAGATATAAACAGCAAGATTAGTCTCATCACCGCAGATCGTTTCCTGGTTTACTGCATCCTAGTGGTGCATCCAAGACATTCGGCTGTCTGAGTTAAAGGGCAGCGTGAGACATCCTAGCGGGGCCTGGGCATCACCCACGGATGCAGCCACCTGGTGCTGGAGCTGCTGTTTGCCTGCAAATCATTTCTCGGGAGGGGCGTGTGCCTGGCCGTGGGCAGTGGTGGGAGAGGGGCGTGTGCCGCGGAGAGGGTGTGTGCCCTTGGGGAGGGGTGTGTGCCCGGCAGAGGGGCATGTGCTGAGGAGAGGGCCTGTGCCCGGCTGTGGGCAGTCACCCTGTGGCTGACCTAAGCGTGTGCATCCTGATCTCCACGCTCGGTGCCAAGATCTCATTTTCCGCGGCCGTTTTCCTTGCTTGCACTCGGGGTTCCCCTTGGCTGTGCTGCTTCCTAACGGGTTCTGGGCTGTCCCAGAGCCCCCTGAAGCAGGTGGTTGCCCCCACCTCGCTGCCTGCCATCGCCTCCCCCCACCCCTGTCCCTCCCCATCCGCCCCCACCAGGTCACACTGTTTGGTGTTGCTTTAGACTCTCTGGTGAGATTTCACTTCCAGCCATTTCTTCAGCTGCAGGGACTCCAGAATGCCCCTGGGCTTAGCTGCGTTTAGTGTCCGTGTGGCCACTGTCTGACCGTTTAGTAGTCCCTGTCTGCTCGTGACCCCAACGTCTCGTTTTTATCTAGGCTGGGTACTTCCGACCTATGTTTTACGGTGTCAGAGTTAGCACGGCAGGCGGTGGGGGCGGGGGGGTGGTTAAGGTGTCTGTGCATTTTCTTTAGGGTGTTCCAGAGATGCTGACCTTGGCCTTGTGAGACTGACCCACAGCTCTGAGCTCAGCGGTGGAATAAGTTGATGACGCCACATGTACATTCCTGCACGCAGCATGTTGCTTTTCCCACCTAGAGTGCCCGGTGCCATGAGGGTTTTGGGGAGGCCGTGAACGGGACAGTTGTTTAGCGGCACGTTGACGAGCTACTGCTGGTCTGGACTCTCTCCCATGGAACATTCTTCCAGCAAATGCAGCTCTCGTTAGAATTGCTGCTGTGGCCACATGCAGCTTGAAGTGCAGCTTCTAACGGGTGGATGATGAATCTGTGATGAGAGGGGCCGGGGAGAGAGCACAGTGGGTTGGGCGCTTGCCTTGCACGCTGCCAACCCAGATTCAGTCCCAGGTACTCCATATGGTCGCCCCGTATGGCCAGGAGTGAGCCCCGAGCACAGCTGTGTGTCCACCAAACAACGCCCCCCTCCATAGTATGACATAGAAGGTGGAAGCAAGAAGACCTCTGGCGGGGAGACGACAGCCCGCTTGTCCTTGTGTTCTTGGGCCCCACCCAGCAGTGCTCAGTCCATGCCCCTGGCTCTGTGCTTTTAGAGATCGGCCCCGTAGGATTCGGGGGACCATGCAGGGCCGGGATCAGACATGGGTAAGCCCCATGCCTGCCATCGAGGCTGTTGACTGCATGGGGTAGCTCGGAGATGCCAAGTCGGAGGCAAGTGGCGACCGTCATGCGGTGCCCCCTCAGGTGGACAGCACTGCCCTGGCCTCTCCTTACTTCTCCCCGCCGACGCCGATCCCCCCGCCCCCCCCCCCCAGTGTCCGGCGTGGCCAGCGGCCCTCCCTGGGCACTCCCAGCGCTGGCTCCTGCCTGGTGCTCTCAGCTCCCTTTCCCTGAGCATCTGCTCTCAGAGGAACTTCCGGGTTGGTTCCCAGGAGCAGCGCTCAACCCTGGCGGTCAGCGGTCAGTGGGAGCCTCTGGGCCCCGTCCAGGATTGGGGAGGGCCAGGCCAGGCGCGCAGCTGTTGTCGGGGGTGGGGAGGGTCTGCGGAATCTTTACCCCCGAAGAGAAGTGACGGTGGAAAGTGCCGGAAGTCAGTGTCACTGATACTGGAGTCCTTAGCACTCCCTGATGTCAGAGCTGGACCCAGGGTCCCTCCCAGCCCCACACCCTGAGCTTGGCCCGGGAACCCTGCTGTTGGTGCAGGGTTGGTCCCTTGGAGCCAGGAGCCCGCAGAGGGAGGTGGGCCCCGGTGGAGAGTGGTAAGCAGAGGCTGCTAGACCCAGCCTGGAAGTGACCGTGGTGCGTCGCGAAAGGGAAGCCTAGAAACCCCTCGCATGCCTAGTTGTCCAGTTTCCTTCCTGAGTCTGGTTCTTCATGTTACCATGGGCTGGACGCTGGGGCTAACACTGTAGTATGCTGTTGGACCTCAGGCATGAAGAGATATGTGATAAACAGCCTTTTTGGTACCAAGGGTCTTGGTGTGTCCGGCTCGCAGTGGGCTTGGCTTCCCATCACTAGTTGGGTCGTTGGGTCATGGAAGAACCCGAAGTGGGCCTGGCTTCCCAGGCCTCCCGCATCACACGCACGTGCAGTGTCCAGGCCGGAAACCACTTCCTTAGCAGCTCGCCTGCCCTGCCCGCCAGTGTTCTGGAGCTGGAGTTCCTGCTCACGGCTGTACGCCCCCCACCCCGCCCCCCAGGGCAAGCTCAGGTTCCTGTGACCCCCTGGGCCCTGTCGAGGCAGAGAACCCGGATGTCACAGTTTGCGCCCTCACACTTGACTTGAGTATGAGCACGATGAACTCCCTGTCCCTCTTCGGAGGGTTTGGGGAACCTGCCCCGTGGACGGAAGAGGTGCCCCTCAGCCGTGACCCCCTTCTCGAGTCCCTTGTCTCGCCCACTGCGTCTGACGCCTCTTCTGTCAGCGGTCCCGCCTGTGTGGGAGAAGCGCCTTTGGCGTTTGTTCAGACGAGTTTGATGGTGCAGTCTGCCTCGACGTGCTCGGGTGGCCCCTGCTCTCTTATTTCCTCACAGCTGGGGGGACGCTCCCGCTCCCTTCTGTCCCCTGATGACTGGCCCGTAGCCCCCGCTCCTCCCAGCCTCTGTGTTTGCTCTTTCGCCTAAGTCAGTGTGTCTCTGAGATTTGGGGGGGACGGCAGCCGAGCGCCCACTGCCCCTTCTGGGCCCGGTGTTGCCAGCCAGCAGGGCCTCCCGTGGCCTCGCTGGGTTCGCCGCCACGGCTTCACGCTGCCCACCCTGGACAGCGCTCACCCTCCGCCAGCCGGGTCTGCTGTGATGCTCGCCGAGCACTGTGCGTGGGGCTTCCTGTCCACCCCCAAGCAGCCTGGCCATGTCCCTCGGGCCTTTGGGTTCGCGTCTCAGCGCAGTCTCGACCCCTGACTCGCACACACGTGTTCCGCATAGTTCAGCTCCAGGCGGGGCGAAGCCCTGCTCCGAGGGACAGCGGGGCAGGAGGTCACGGCGTGTCCTGGGGTCTCACCCCGCGGGCCTTCCTCGGGTGCCGCACACCAGGCTTTCTGATTTCTTCAAGTCAGTCATCATTTTTAGAGAAAAAGACAAAAAAGTGCTTCCAGCTACGCCCGTGTCTCGCTGACACCGAAAATGCTGACTCTGTCCTGGTGCTTTCAGAATGAGCTGGGAGAGACACTCTCCACCCACCATGTCCTGCCAGATGGGGGGGGGGGGGGTGCGGGGGAACAGCGCAGGGGGCAGAGCTGGGCTGGCACACGCCCCCACAGGGTCCCCGAACAGAGCCAGGAGGGATCCCTGAACACGGCCAGGTATGGCCCTCAGACTCAAAAACAAACAAGAATTATATTATGGACCCTAAAAATTATCGCGTTATATTTCTGCGTTGTGGGCCATGTATCGGTGTGTCAAGGGGAAGGATGACCATCTTGTGTCTGCCCCCGTCCCGGTGTCTGTGCTTCTGTACTGTCCTTCTGACAGGCGTAGACTGGGACTCGGATTTCTGTGTACCTGATATCTAGCCGCCCGGCCTGTGATATTTTCAGCCTCTCTCTTTCATGCTGATT